ATGGGCAAACCATTGGTTTACTGACCAAATGTACAATTCAGATGGCTTTTGGAAGTTATATAGCAGCTTGCAAGGTCACAAAAAAGCGTTAAGCTCAGTGAAAAGGTTTTGCAATCAAGAACCATCGAGACTGGAAATTCCTAGAACAAATCAGTGCGTAAAACGAGCAATCAAGTTTCTTCTAGATTTTTGATATCTGTAAAAAGAAAGAGAACATCCAGCTTATGTTTATTTTGCCAACAAAGCATAAAAATTGTATTTTACGCTTTAATTAAGCTGAACACTACAGAACAACATTTTTTTTTATATATACAGTAGCTTTTCGTACTTGTAGTATAGTTACTTGAGTTTTTAATTTTATATTTATTTGTGATTTAGAGTGTGATGATGTAATAATAAACTGTTAGATGCTTAAAAACTACATAATAATTTTAAATTAAATTAAAAAAAAAACAGAATCAAAGTAAATACGATTGGACCGTGTCAGATAGTTAGGCCTATAAAAATCTCGGCCTACTAAGTTGTTCTACAAAAAGAACATCTATTAAAATGTGTAACTAATTTTCAGATAACCAACTGAGACCTAAATTGTTTTCAACCGATTATAGTCTTTTAAATTTTCAACCAATCTATGACGTTTTTGCTTTCAGCCGATTTATTTTTCAACTTATTTTATAAATTTTCATTATTTGTCTTTTTTTTAAATTAATAATCAATAAGTTTTCCAAGCATTAATTGAACTTTATACCTCCCGATTCTGAAGACAGCGCTTTAATCACTGCGCCAAGGCTGATCAAATTTGGCTGGTATTCAAATCAACAACAAAATATACAAAATACATACCGGAAAAACGTAGTTATAAAATTGAAAATAGAATAGGTTGAATATTCAGTAGGTTGAAAATTCAGCATATCAAAGATACAGTAGGTCAAGGTTGGAATTTAGTTGTACATGTTTTAATTAGGTGTAAATATAAAAATCAAAAATGTTCAGTTGAAAATCCAAAATTTTATAATCTACAATTTACGAAATTTCAAAATTAAGCTGAGTTATAGACAACTGACTGGACGAACTGAGTATTTAAGAAAATATTTAATACTTAAAGTAATATAAAAAACTAACTAAGAAAAGAAAAAAAATTATTTATTGGGCGATTTCAATTTAGATTGTTTCCAGTATACCGTAAAATTGCCTAAGTTCGGTCATCATGTAACTTCGGTCATTTAGGTTCTTTAGGTAACTCAATTAGGTAAACACGGTCATTTAGGTTAAATTAGATTATTATGAGCATCTTAAGCGAAAATTGGGGTGTTTTAGTGACTCGTACCTTTAAACGATAAAATTACAATTTCTTTGATTTTATATAAAATAAAAATATTAAGTATTTAGAAAATATTAAAAAATTTTACTATGAATTTAAAATTTTTTGTTTTTATTCAAAAACCACTGCAATTTAAGGAGTTTAAACTAGGTAATTTCAATAAAAAAAAAAACACTGGGTAATTTGAGCATGCTCATATTACACAAAAATGGTATATCTACATTAAGTCAAAATCAAATGTTCTTATGGATTATTTTTTAAACGAAAATATAACGAATTTTCAACAAATTTTTTAACATTTTTTTTTATGCAATTTTAGTTTAACATCAAAATTTTGCGGCGCAAATTCAATCATGCGTGGTGATAATATTTTAACAACGAAATTTAATAGCTTTTTAAGTAGATGAGAACCGCTAATTACTGTAAATAAATTTAGTCTAATTACATTGACTCATGTTATCACCACATAAAGTCAATTCAAAATATACAAAGCAATTATAACTATATATATATATATAATATATATATATATATATATATATATATATATATATATATATATATATATATATATATATATATATATATATATATATATATATATATATATATATATGTATATATATATATATATATATACCCTAATATAAATATATATATACCCTAATATATATATATATATATATATATATATATATATATATATATATATATATATATATATATATATATATATATATATATATATATATTCTGTTGTTACTGGATTGAACATCAGACATTCGGTTCTGTGGCCAGAACTCTAACCGTTGCGCTACGATTACATTTATCACCTATGTTGAATTCTCTTTACTCCCATGTATTTTTTTTCTTTCTTCTAAAGATTCATTATATAAAAAATACTAAAAAAATGTTTTGGTTATAAAATTTACACCCTCCCTGGTACGCTTTATCAGATTTCCCATCACACACCTACTCTAAATGACGTTTAACATTACATTACATAACACTATCTACCCTTGCATTACATAACATTTCTTAATGTGACGTAATTAATTATCAAAATAACTGCTTAAGTTATTTAGAAAACCTCAAATTGGTCAATATATACCTGCAAATTAATAAAGCTTATATTACTTATTGACCAATTTGAGGTTTTCAAAATAACATAAGCGGTCA